CTCCTTGACTAGATAGTTGCATAATTTGGCTACAATTATTTCTTCAAAAAATTTTCATTTTGGGAGTCTTTCAAGAGGTGATTGGTGGATTCTTTCCATCACTGTTTTATCCTCCAGTTCTAGGATATCAGGGCAGTTTTCCTTTCTTGAAAGATGCTGTCCAGGCTCTTTATTGATCATGGTTTTCAGGTAGTCTAATCTTAAATTATCTCTCCTGGATCTGTTTTTAAGTCAGGTGTTTTTCCAGTGTGGTATTTTACGTTTTCTTCTATTTTTTCATTCTTTTGATTTTGTTTGACTGATTATTCATATTTTATAGTCATTAGCCTTCCATTTGCCCTATTTTGATTTTTAAGGAATTATTTTGTTAGTTAGCTTTTGTGCTTCCTTTACCATTTGGCCAATTCTACTTTTTTTTTTTTTTGGTAAGGCAGTCAGGGGTTAAGTGACTTGCCCAAGGTCACACAGCTAGTATGTGTCAGGTGTTTGGTCTGAGGCCGGATTTGAACTCAGGTCTTCCTGACTTCAGGGCTGGTGCTGTATCCACTGTACCACCTAGCTGCCCCCCAATTCTACTTTTTAAGGAGTTGTTTTCTTCAGTGGATTTTTTCCCCCCAATTTGGCCAATTTTATTTTTTTTATGGAGTTGTTTGCTTCAGTCAACTTTTGTCCTTCCTTTTCCAAGCTGTGACTTTCTCTTTTATAACTCTCATTTCTTTTCCGAATTTTTGTTCTACCTTTCTTATTTGATTTTTAAAATCCATTTTGAGCTCTTACAAGAAAGCTATTTGGTTTTGAGACCAATTCATCTTTCCCTTTGAGGCTTTGTATATAGGCATTTTGACATTATTGTCCTCTTGTGAATTTGTATTTTGATCTTCTCTCTCCCCATAGTAGCTTTCTGTGGTTCTGGGCTCTTTCTTGTTTTTTACTCATTTTTTTTAGCCCATTATGTGACTTAAAATGGAGCTCTGCTCCTGGAGCACAGGGGTCACTATCCTAAGCTTTTGGTGCTGGGGGCCAGGGGCCTGGTCACTGGCTTTCTGCGCTGGGGCCTTAGGTGCTGGCGGCTTGCCCAGTGTGCTGGGGCGGCCTGGCTAGTAGGGCCTGTTGTACTGGGAGGTTCCCAGGCTGGCAGTTTGCCTTCTGTGCTGGGGCTGGAGGCCTCACAGCTGGCCTGCTGTGCCAGAATCATAGGGCCTCAGTGGCTGCTCTGTGGTGTGGCTAAGAGCCTCCCCCTGGCTTGCCCACACATCATTTGCTCTAGCTTGTGCTTCCCTTTTTACCCTAGTGAGACAGATCTTTCCAGAAGTCCTTCTATGTTATCTTCAGATGGAAAAATTGTTCACTCTGTCATTTTGTAGGTTCTGTTACTCCAGAATCTGTTTAGAGTAGGGCTTCTTAAACTTTTTACACTTGTGACCCCGTATCGGGTCACGACCTACAGTTTAAGAAGGGCTGGTTTAGAGGCTGAGGGAAATTGGGGAGAGCTCAGACAACTTCTTGGCTTTTCTCCTCCATTTTGGCTGCCCTTTTGGTTAATTTCAATGTCTTCAAGATAATTTAAAAATTTTTAGTAGAAAAAAAATTTTCCAGATATTTATTTATGTTATTATTACAAAATATTTCCAAAACGTAATTTTTAATAAGTACACAGTGGGTTTGATTTGTTTAACTTCAGCTGTGAAAGATACATATGGTTACCTTTCTACCCTTTTCAGTATTGTGACAAGTTACAAGGCTGAACAAATCAAATAATCTTGTTTTTGGTTTTTTATTCCTGAGGACAATTCTAAGAATTTCTGCCCAGGTCAGAATTTTTAGCAAGTGAAACTGTTTTCTCTCTTTTCCCTTTATGTTGAATGAGATAGATGCAAAATATAAATGGTGTATACCAGGGGTGGGGAATCTGTAGCTTCAAGGCTACATGTGGCCCTCTAGGTCCTCAAGTTCAGCCCTTTGACTGAATCCAAACTTCACTGAACAAATCCCCTTAATAAAAGGATTTGTTCAGTAAAACTTGGACTTGGTCAAAAGGCCACACCCGAGGACATAGAAGGCCGCATGTGGCCTCTGAGGCTGTAGGTTCTCCATCCCTGGTATATACTTTGTTCGAAAAAGTACTTTGAACAAAGTGTGAAACCTGTGAGGATTTGTATGAACAGAACCATAAGAACAACTATATACATATGTGTGTATATATATATATATAGACGTAAGGGCTTTGATCAGTGGAATTACCAGTTACATCTGCAGATGAGGAGAATCATCTCTTGGCAGAGAGATTGTGAACAGAAGTGCTGAATGAGAAGTAGAAAGGTGTATATGCATATTCAGTCTTGGTCAGCGTGTAAATGTTTTGCTGGACTAGATTTCTTACACAGGAAGGCTTTTTGGGAAATGAAAAGCTATTTGGGGAAAGGGGAAAATAGTGATACCCCCTCAAAGGAAGAAAAGTATCAATAAAACTTTAGTTTCACAGAATAGTGGGGGAAGGTCAGAAGTTGCTATCTACAGTCATCAGTATTGGAAATACTGTGCTAAATTTACTACGTATTTAATCTGTATACTTATTTTCTGTTCCCTGCATGTGGAAATGTTTGTGTTTGTCAAGTTCATAGTAAAAGAAAATTTAAAAGGCTTATAGTGATATTGAAGGTTTAGAAGTCTTCATTGTATAGATTTTTTTTTTTTTTTTGGCCTTTTGGTGAGGCAATCAGGGTTAAGTGACTTACTTGCCCAGGGTCACACAGCTAGTAAGTGTCAGGTGTCTGAGGCCAGATTTGAACTCAGGTCCTCCTGACTCCAAGGCCAGACCTCTATCCACTGTGCCACCTAGTTGCCCCATGTAGATACTCTTAAGAACATTTTGTAAATTGCTGTGATATTTAATTTTTTTTGGCATCACATTTTACCATCATTCTACCAATATCTTGGGGCTTGCTTAAGAAATCATTAGGACTAGTAGCTGTTTTGAAATAATTATAGAAAACTTAAATTTGCGTGGGACAAAAAATTAACTATATCCTAGCAAATCAGGATTCTCATAGTTTAAAAAACTGACGTGTGCCCTGTCAACAAAATGGCATTTTTTTCCCCAAAAGTCTCAGCACTTTGATTTGATGTTTTAAAAGGGTAAACTCCTTTTATTAACTAATGAATTTTTTCTTTAGGCACATATATTTACTATTGTTTATCTTAAATAAGTGCTCCTTTCCAACTTACACCCACACTCTCTTAGAAAATATATTCTCCTGTTAACAGTTACTGTCTGTTAACAGAATGGAGAACTGTGTCTAACTTTCAGGGTGTGATGCTAAAATTGAGTGCTGTAACTGCCTCGAGCTTTGTTGCTGCTCCATGTCGTCTTAGAATTTACATTATTGTAGTCACGTCTCTCTTCATTTAATTCAGTATCCATCACTTCATAAGTTCCCCTATTTCTTAGAATTTTTTATATTTGCCATTACCATTGTTTTATTTCATTCGTATACCATGATTGGTTCAGCACTTCTCTATTCATTGGACACAAAATTATTTCCTGTCATTTATCACAAATGATGGCTGCTAGGAAGATTATTGTACATACCTATTCTCGCTTTCAATAATCTCCTTAGGATACAGGCCCAGTCCTTGAATCTCGGGCTAACGTTTCCTAAGAGCAAATATTGATTTGCCAACTTTCAGACACCTTCTAATGGATTCTTTGAGTGTGTTCAGTTTATCATAAAAGTAACTCATATTTGCACTGATAATTGATGTCATTAGGCGTGGTGCCTAAGATAACATGAACGTATTAGATTTTCTCTGGTTTTTCCTGACTTGGAGGTTGAAGGATTGCAAATGCTTTCTTAGCAGTCAGTGTCCTGCTCACTTGAGCCCTTGCCCTAAAGAAACAATACCTTTGCTTTTTTGCTGATAGAAAAGAAATGGAGCACATCACTTACACTGAATTAATTTCTACCATTTATTCCTTACTCTCCCCCTTCCTTGTGTAGCTCTGAGTCATCTTTATTTTCCTAATTATAGCTTTTTTAAGTCCCCTTCATTTTTTTAATCCTGTAATTCCTTTTGCTTGCCCTTGTTCCAGTCAGTGATTAGAGTAGGAGATTGGTATGTGTCTTACCTTATAATTTTCAAGTCCTCCTAATTAATTAGTTTTAGCCCTTTGGAAAAAGTTTTTCCCCCCACTGTCTTCCTGACCACCCCAATGCCTTGACACACAGTAATCCTTCAAATGTTGCATTGACAGACTTGTTACCTCTACTTAAGTGCCTTTATGATCTCATGGGAAATCAGTATATTTACCACTTCCTAATTATAACCCATTTAGGTTCTCTTATTGTGTGGAATGCTTGTTCTTATCTTTCCATTAACTGACTTTGAGCTTTGCTGGTTTCCAATAACCAGCCTAGCTAAGTAGAGTCTCATTACCTTCAATTTAGCTTTTAGGTGATTGTTCTTTTAGCTATAGCAACCCATGTGTCAAATTTGCTAAGCTACAAATAGTGTTATAGTAATGTAACATGAACACACTTATTTGGTCCAGAATGTCCATGCCAGTAATTCTTCAGGTACATATTTTAAATAGTTGTCATCCTCGTGTTTTTCCTTTGCTTTAAAATTTTATTACTTTTTTTTTCTTTTGGCTAGGCAATGGGGTTAAGTGACTTGCCCAGGGTCACACAGCTAGTACGCGTTACGTCTGAGGCCAGATTTGAACTCAGGTCCTCCTGACTCCAGGGCCGGTGCTCTATCCACTGCCCCACCTAGCTGCCCCAATAGTTTGTTCTCCAAAAGGAGAAAGAAGTGGGAAACAAAGCCAACCAAGCTTACCAACACAGCAGATCCTTATCTTCCTGTATCTTTGTCAGATGGGGCTTGGGCTGAGTTGTTAGGCACTTTGCTTGCTGTTCTTTCCTGAAATAATCAAAGCTTCCCTCCACAAGGCATGATGTATAATGTGTACTCTGCTCACTCTGGCTTCTTTTGTGCTTCAGATGGGTCTGCGAAGAAATACCGGATCTCAAGCTTGCCATGGAAAATTATGTTTTAATTGACTATGATACCAAAAGGTAAGCTGCATGATCTATGTTTTTCACTGCACTTTGAGGATGGGCTGAGTGCTTTGTGCCACAGCAGCCTGTAATGAGTTATCCATGGATGCTTCCAGGGCAGGGACAGCTCTCCTTACCTTCGCATCTCTGACATTCTTTGGGTAGGAGATGGGTAAAAGAAAGACTGGCAGAGGCGGACAGATTAAGGACATAATTGGAAATGACCTAGCGAGTGAGTAATTCTGTGGGAATTACTCACTCAGCAACAATAATCAGCATCTCCCAATGGCTGTTGGCCAGAGGTGGGGTTTGATCTGGCTCTGAGTCTTCTGGAAGCATTACCGCAGAAACCCCTTCTTAGAAGGAACTTCTCGAGTTGGGTAAGCAGCTGTTTTTGTGGGGCTGCTGTCACCAGCAGGTGCCAGAAAAACCTTAACCTGTGAGAACATTAACTTTTCACAACATGTCTAAAGTCCTTGATGATTGGACTTTTCTTCCAGCCACCCTCGGAGGAGGATCATAGGGTAATAATAAATGGCATATATGTAGTGCTCGTGAGCTTGCCAAGTACCTTATATTCATTACCTCCTGAGTCTCAGATACAACAACCCTGTGGGGAGGGTCCTCCAGATTTTAGTATCCACATGTTAGCGATGGGGAAACAGAGGCTCAGATGTTAAGAAGGGATGTGCCTGTGGTCCTGTGGTTAGTAAGTGTCATTGTCAGGTTTTCCTGACTCTTTTTTCCATATCTTGTCTTCCTTGCTGCTAGTTAAAATTGAGAGCTGGCAGGAACCTTTGAGAGATCACGTAAGTCCAGCTTTCTCTGACTGGTAAAAGGTTAGGCAGCTAATTCCCATAGAGGGAGTCACATACAGAAGATATAGGGCTCAGAGTCAGGAAGACTTTAGTTTCAGTTTGGCCTCGGGCACTTGCTAGCTCTCTGACCCTGTACAAGTCACTTAACCTGTTTGCCTTCATACACTGGAGAAGGAAATGGCAAATCCCTGCAGTGTAAACCCCATGGACAGTATTGACAGGTTCATGGGGTTACGAAGGGTCAGATCCAACTGAACATCAAGGATCAGAGCCATGTTTTATTTGGATCTAGGTTCTAAGGCTTGAAATCCATCAGAGCAAGTAGCAGTAGCCCCAGTCTATCTCGGAATATACCTCCAATGAGTAGCAGTAGCACAGGGTCTGGAACATAGTAAGGGCTTAATAAATGTATGGGCAGATAAGTGGTACAGTAGATGAAGTGCCAGGCCTGGATTCAGGAAGATCTGAATTCAAATCCAATTTGATGACAGTTGGAGTATGGTGACAGCTATTAAGTGGATAGAGCCAGGCCTCCTATTTATACAGTGAATTGCTCTGCAATGTTATTTGTGAGAACAAATCCCAAAATCTGGGGTTTTAGAAGGAAATTTATTTGGTCCAGAAGGGAGGTGTGATTTGTTTCCTGCAGGCTCTGGAAGGTTTATGTTATTAATGGGATTTAGACAATGGTACTTGCACAGGAACAGCACGGAAAGCAGTTAAGCAATTTTGCCAGAGGTCAGTTTGTAAAGCAAGGTAGATGGAGATGGATGTATGTAAATGTAAATATTCAGTAAACTTCGGGCAAAACCAAATATAAGGGGAACCCTAAACACAAGCGAGGATGGGCCCAAAATAAGACCTGGGTGTGGAAACCCAAAGCAAGAATGTTTTGGGTGAATCCAGGACCTGGAGGAGCCCAGAATTCATCTTACCTGTCCCTGACATTCCTGGAGAGTTACTGAGGTCATTCTGGATTTAAATAAGCTCTGGTTAGATTTAAACAGTATAACAATAAGTTTTCTGAACAATATAGTATATGGCATTTATTAATGCACAATATTCATGCCTATTCCTTGAACTAGCAGAAGGGTACTTTATTTGTGAAAGATGTACTTGACAAACAATTATTGTGAGCCTGCTGCCTCCAGGAAGCTTTGTGCTGAGGGAGATTCAAAGTTTATGGAAGAAATGACCTTCTGCCATGTTGAGTTCAGAGACAAACACTTAACTACAGCACACAGTATTATGTTGGTCAACAAACATTTATTTGTGAAGAGTGCTGACTGTGTGCTAGGCACACAGAGAGAAGAGAGCTCTGGTGTTTGGAAAGTGACTTTATCAGCTGAGCGGGTGGGGGTGGTACCGTGGGAGGTTCCACGAATAGCTTCTGTGGTGAGTAGCAGGGCAGCCTTGTTACAGTGTTTTTGTGAGACTTTTTTCCCCCTCTAGCCTCCTTTAGAATCAGATAAACAGAATTGGAGGGGCATGGTGGAAGTAGGCCATAGTTGGGGTTTGCTTAAAGTGTGATTGGTGAGATAAGATAGGGGAGGCAAAGTGTTTTTGAGTGTGCATTTTGAGAATTGGGAGAAAATGCTATGTCAAGTCTCAAGCTCATGATTGTTATCCATACATTACAGCTGCTGTGGAGAAGGACACTGGGAAGGGTTGGATGTAATGTTATAGCAGAGGGAAAATTATAATAGAGAATGAAAATGGGAGGGGACTGTCTCTGGAATGCCTTTCTGGAAGTTTTTATTTCTTGTTGTGAAGTAGAGAAGCAGATATTTGTTTCACCTGCTTCTGTGGTAGGTCTTAGCATGTGTGAAATTGATATGGGGGTTAGCTAAACAAAACCAGGAGTGCTTCATTGGCAAAGTGAGGTACTCTCGTGATGCCCTGGCTTACCCTAGAAGAGAGAGGCCAGTCTGATTCCATATCCAGGTTTCATTTGACGGTATTCTGGGCTCCCTTTCTCATCTTCTGAAGAGAAGTCTTAGTTTTCGGTTTGCTTCTTATGGCTACATCAAACCACTTGATAAATTTGCAGAGCTCTTCATTTTGTTCTTTTTATTAGTAAGATCAGTTTGCCATGAGACATTGGAATCTTTTCTTCTGTTGTTTCCTTCCTCTTTCCCCTTTATATTAAAATGACTCAATTGGAATTTTAAACATCATTTTCCCAGGACAAACCAATTTTGGAAATAGCCACCGGTTTCTGCCTTGAATTTAAACATTTTGGAAATTCAGATTTTGCCCTCCTCTATTTCGACCTACCTTTTGTTTAGAAATCCTAGTACCGAACTAGGCGGTTTACATTTTCATCACCTACTGACTGGAGAGCTGGCTTTGGATTGAATTCTAGCTTTTTATTATTTATTTGGCACTTTCAAGGTTGTAAAGCCCTTTGCAGAAAATTTTCTTTTTGTAACTTTACAAAAACCCTGTGTAGAAGGTGCTTTTTTGGTCGTCATTCCTTTGGCATGGAAGTCGAAGCAAAGCGGGGGGAGGGGGGGGCTGGGAAGAGGAGTGCCTTCTCGTGCCTCTTCTGTGGGGCCATGCTTGTCCACCTCAGTTTTGGGGCAGCTCTTTCATTTGCTTAGTTCAGGTCGTCCCGTGTGCCGTTTTCTTGGCTCTGCTTGCTTCAGTTTATTTAGACCGTTCCTTGCTTCTCTCTTTCCAATCGTAGTTTTTTGTAGTCTTTTGGTCTGTAAGCATTTATTGGTTGTTGTTCAGTTATGTCCAACTCTTCTCCCTTACCTCATTTGGAGTGGTTTTCTATGTCCTTCTCCAGCTCATTCTACAGATGAGGAAACTGAGGCAAACAGGCTTAAGTGACTTACCCAGGGTCACATAGCTAGTAAGTGTCCTAGGCTGGATTTGAATTCAAATCTTCCTGATTCCAGGCCTGACGCTTCATCTACTGCACCACCTATCTGCCCATGCATTTATTAAGCCCTAACTGTGTTCTAGACCCTGTGCTAAGCACTGAAGATACAAAGGAAGGCAGAAGACATCCTCTGCCCTCAAGGAGCTCACCATGTAATAGGGGAGACATCAAACAAATGAGTGTGTACCAACAAGCTACATACTGGATAAATAGGAAATAATGGGGAGAAGGCACTAGAATTAAGAGGGTTTGGGAAAGGTAGAAGATAGATTTTTAGATGGTATTTGAAGGAGATGAGGGAAGCTGGGAGATGGAGATGAGGAGAAAGAACATTCCAGGTATGAAGGACAGCCAAAGAAAATGCCTGGACTCTAGAGATTTTGAGAAATAGCAAGGAACCTATTGTCATTGGATTGGAGAGTTTGTAGGGGTTGGAGGTAGAGGGTATGAGGTGTAGGAGGTTATGAAACGCTTTAAACTCCAAACGAGAATTTTTTTATTTGATCCTGGAGGTGATAGGAGTGGACAGGCAGAGGGAGTTGAATATGGGGATAATGTGGTCAGACCTGTGCTTTAGGAATATCACTTTGGCAGCTGAATGCAGCGACCGCACTGCAGGAGCAGCAGGGGCAGAGGAAAGAAAGGGACACGGTCAAGATGATCCAACAGCTTGGAGACATGGGGGTGACGAGAAAGAATGAGGAGGTCAGGATGAATCCTAGGTTGTGAGCCTGAGGCCCTGGGAGGGAGGGTGAAGGGTATTACCCTCTATGATAATAGAGAAATTTGGAATTTTGGAAATTTGGAATAGAGGAGGGTTTAGGGGGAAAGATAATGAGTTCAGTTTTGGATGTGTTGAGTGTAAGATGTCAACTGGACAGCTAACGTAAGATGTCTAAAAGGCAGTTGGAGATGTGAGACTGGAGGTCGGCAGAGAGGGCATGTACTTTGTTTTCACTTCCTTGATACTGAAAAAAAAATGCTGCTATATACATTCTGGTACGTGTAGAGTGTTTTTTTTTTTGTTTTTTTTTTTAAATATCAGTGACTTCCTAGTATTTGCCTAACCATGGAATCTCTGGGTAAAAGGGCTTGGACAATTTAGCTACTTTATTTTCATAATTTCAAGTTGTTTAGTATACGAGTCTCTATTTGATAAGAACCTTTGGGAAAATTGGAAAACAGTCTGGCAGAAATTAGGCTTAGACCAGCAGCTTATACCATATTGTACAATAAATTAAAATAAATTCAAAGTAGATCTGTGACCTGAATATTTGAGATCATATTGTTTAAAATTAGAAGCAGATCATTTACCTTTCAAAAGTATTAACAGATTAAATCTTAACCAAATGAGGTAGGTATAGAAGCAACTCCAAAAGAAGTAAGTAGAATAATAATTGTTGTTTGTTTACTTGTGGCTGATTGTTTGTGACCCTGTTTGGGGTTTTCTTGGCAAAGATATTGGAGTTGTTTGTCATTTTGTTTGATAGATGAGGAAACTGAAGCAAACAGGATTAAGTGACTTGACCCAGGGTCACACAGGTAGTGTCTGAGGCTGGATTTGAACTTAGGAAGGTGAGTTTTCTTGACTCCAGGACCAGCACTCTGTCCATTGCACTATCTAGTTATTCAAAATAAAAATTGCCAGCCCTTAAAATGCTTTGCAAACTTTAAAGTGAACTCAGCAATAACAACAACCTGCATAAATCTGATATTTGAAGCCATAGAACATGTCAGGTGGAAAAGGAAAAGGAACCAAGATTTAGTCTTAGGAAAAAACCCCCCCTGAAAGAATGATAATAACAGCTAGCATGCAATAACTTACTTCATTTGATCCTCACACTGGGAGGTAGGTCCTGTTATTGTCGCCATTTTATACATGGAGAGGATTGAGGCAGATGGCAGCAGGGCCAGCTTTGAACTCTGGTCCTTTGCTGTCTCCACTGTGCCCCTGGCTGCCTTTATTAAAAGGATGCTTTTCAATGCTTTTCAGTGAAAAGCATCTGCACACAAAATGCACCCATGACAAGAGGGGAAGCAATTGAATATTTTTATAAAAAATCTTCCTATCAAATTTCTTAGATAAGGTTTGGTATCCCAAATAGACAACTACCAGATACACATAAGATCAAACGCCATCCTCTAGGAGAGAAGTGGTCAAAAGGATAGAAACACGTTCCCAAAGTAAGAGTTGCAGACTTTTAGTCCTGTGAAGGAATGGTCCAGGTCACTAATAATCAGTTACTCTTGAAGCTACTTGCCTCCTGCAGTGTGAAAGGCTGTTGGGGAGGGGGGAGGAGGTGCTGAACAAGGCTGGAGGCCAGTCTGCTTGTGTGTTGGATTTTGTTTTTTAGATGGGCCCCCGGACCTGTGATTTTTTTGTGTGGGCAAATCCCTCGAACTTAGTCTGTATTTTTTAAGCCTATGCCTCTTTTATAAGTTTTAGTTGGACAGTTGCCTGGGTGCCTGAGATGTGAAGTGACTTGCCTGTGGTCCCACAGCTAATTTGCTGAGTCAAATCCTGTGGGGCGAGGAATATGTAGTCATAGAGCTCAGTCATAGGGAGATAAGGCAGTAAGATTAACTTGAATGTGCAGTATTTTGTCATGTGTATCATAGAGGTGCAAAACCCAGTTTTCTATGAGGTCTGGGGCAGGCAGTTTGCTTTTGAGAAGAATGGTGGCTTGTATAGACTTGGGACCTACTTCTGACAATTACTTGGTGTGCCTAGGAGTATATTGCTCATCCTCTTCGGGCCTCTGTTTTCTTACCTGTAAAATGGAGACAGTACCTGTTGTGAAGAACACATTTTGTATTTTTGTTTGTCTGCCTCTTCGCAGTGCAAACTCCTTCTGGGTAGGGGTCATGTAATTTTCTTGGTTTTGTTTTTTGTATTTGTATCCTTAGCCCAGAACTTAGGTCTTGGCACACAGTAAGCACTTAATAAGGATTCCTTTAATGGAATTTGGAAAAATGAGTTTCTCTCTGGAATGACGATGCCTCCCCATGATTGGATGACCTGTGTCTGAGTCTGGTCCATCTCATGGAGGGATATCCCTGTGTCTTAGTGATGCAGCTGGTGCCAAGGTTCTGCTGAGCCAGATGCGGTAGCCTGTCTGCTCTGTGAGGGCTTGCTTGGAGCCGCCTCTTTTGGGGCAGCTGTTGTTCGTTAGCAGGGTTGGTTCTTTGCCAGATTGCATCTTTTACAAATTTACTGGAAACTAAACCTTGACCTTTAGTTGCCAGGAGAGGGAGAGATTCTTCATAACCAGAAGACCAAAAGTGACCCTTGTTAGGACCAAAGTTCCTATCAGAAAACCTAAGCCCACTTTGCCAGGACTGTTCATTATATGTCTGCTCTGTGGGGTAATAGGGAGAGGGCTGGATTTACAGGCCAGTCACCCAGTCATTTACTTAACTGTGCATATATCTGTGATACACTTTCTGGTAGAGTACACTTTCCTTTTGTCATTCTGTCTTCAGGGCCTGGCAGAGTGGTTTGCCCCATAGAAGTGTTTGACTGAATGTGGAATTGAATTGAACTTTACCAGCTGCACTCACACAACCCCTTTGAATCCTAGTTTTACCTTGGGAGAAATAATGAGAGATCAAATTTAAGATGCTGTGTAATCAAGAAGGTTGTTGTTGAAGAAACCAGAATGTCATTTTTCTTTTCTTAGGCGTGTTCAGACTTATTAGCCAACACAATTTGTGTGTTTTTCTTGTCATTTTACTTGATTGTATTATTTCAGGAGACCTACTCCTTTACTTCCTAGAAGTTGGGGGGAGGGGGAAAGATTTGCTTTTGAAAATGGATGAACTTTTGAGCTCTTTGTTCTTGCTTTTTTGCCCTAAAAGCCTGGATCATTCCTAGGATCTGCTAACCTTGGTTCTGAATCTTTCCTGGGTGGTACTGGTTTTGTTAATGCTTTATTTTGAATTGTTAAGTGATGATGAAACTTCACTTTTTTCAGCTTTGAAAGCATGCAGAGACTCTGTGACAAGTACAACCGAGCCATTGATAGCATTCATCAGCTGGTAAGTATTGACTTTTGTTATGCCTCTGGTTTTTGTGCTAGTTGGGAGTTTCAAGTTCCCCTACTTTGAAATGCCTTCCTAATTTGCTCTTAGCATCAGTTCCTCATTTTTCTTCAATCTGGGATAATGGTGATAGTGACAGTACTCAATCTCTTAAGCATCTACTCTTGGGGAGAATTATATTGCTCTCCCCTAAGTGAAGTAAAATTTTACCATCAGGTCTTTAGTCTTTGCATCTGGAATGACTAAAGTAGCTAATTTGCCCCCAAAGCACTTGTTTATGAGTATAGGTTACAGGTCTCTTCGATGCTTAAAAGCCAGTGTCTTTAATCTAGGAATCCCTAATGTCATTACTTGAATAAAGAACAATGATATATGTTGGGCCAGTTGTGGAGGATCTTTAAAATTGACTTACTTTTAATGTTTTCAAAGGACTTATCTCACTCTTATAATGTAGGTAGCATAAAGAGTCCCTATTTTGCATCTGATGAAACTGAGGCTCACAGAGGTGAAATCAGCGTGTGTGGATCCTTCTGAAAATTAATGTCAGAACTGGACTTTGAACCACACTCCTGATTCTGTGCTTCCTTGAAAATGCTAAAGAAAACTAGTTCCTTGTAAATTGTCCTAGGTACTGTATCTGTTTGGGACAGCATGTATTTGATTCATCTTTCCGAACGAAAATTGCTTATTTGCATAAATGATACATAATAAAGTATTTAAATGCATGGAATTGGAAGAACATTAGACTTAGAATCTAGAGACCTTGATTTCTGAAACTGTGGGATCCCATGAGCAAGTCACTTAATTCTTTGGATCTCAGTTTCTTCACCTGTAAATGGGAATAAGACTTTTTAATGCAAGTATTGTTGAGAGGAAAGCTCCTTCCATAGATGAGAACTGTTTTTACTACTGTTGTATCTTGCCAGCCTTTTGAAAACTTTGACACTGTTGTAATTTCTGTAGATTACCAGGAAAAAAAACTTAAGCTTTTGAAACAGACCATGAACAGGCAGTCATTGTACAAAGATAGGCCTTTCTAAGAGCTGGGGATGCCAAAAAGATGGGAAGTTGTTTGCTGTGTGCAAGGCCAACAGGTAGTTAGAATGAAATGGGGAGTGAAAGTGTAAGAAAATTGGAAGATTGGGAAGGGGTTGGGCTGTGAAGGGCTTTGAACTTGGGGGTGATAGGGAGCTGCTGCAGCATATGAAGTGAAGAGGTGAAATGAGAAGTCCCTGTGATGGCTGCTTGGACATGAGATAGGAGGAGAGGAAGAACAATTAGAATACTATCAATATACTGACGAGAAATAACAGGGTCGGAAGTAATGTTGTTGGCTGTGCGAGTGGAGGGAAGGGCATATGAGAGATACTGTAAAGATGAGAGGGGTTGAATCTGTAGAGGAGAGTGAATAGTTTGAGGTTGACACAGGTTTTGGGATGGAGGATGAGGTTGTTGGGAAGAGCTGGGGTGAAAGACAATTAGTATACTATGATGCCTCTAGGACATCTATTTTGAAATGTCCAATAGACCATTGCTGTGATCAGTGACTGGCTCAAAGAGACTAGTGCTAGTTATACAGATCTGTGATTCATATGCCTTGAGGTGATAATTGAGCCCCGGGAGCGGATGAAATTACCTGGTGAAGAGAAAAAAGAGAAGAGGGTCCAGAATGGAGCCTTGGAGGATGCACAGGAATCTCTTGCCCTAGATTTTGCCAATACTATCATCATAAAATACTTGACATTACTGGTGATGGTAGACTAGGTGAAGTTGATGTATTGAGGATCAGTCAGGAACATAGATCTGAAATGGGGAGTGGGGAGCTGAGTGGAGAGAGGCAGTAGGGGTTAAGTGACTTGCAGGCAGTAGGGGTTAAGTGACTTGCCCAGAGTCACACAGCTAGTTAAGTGTCAAGTGTCTGAGGTCAGATTTGTACTCAGGTCCTCCTGACTCCAAGGCTGGTGCTCTATCCACTTCGACACCTAGCTGCCCCAATGGAAGTAACTTTTAAAAAATTGTCAGAAATTGCAATGAATTGATGAATTCCTAACCTGGTAACCAGTCTTTTGCATGTTCTCCTTTTAGCTTGTCTTGTCCTTAAATAATAGCTTTGAAAGACTTCCCAAAGCATGCTGTTTTGTAGTATAATAGTAAAAAATCCAGGGTCACTGCCGTTCCTCATGAATTGAGAAATCTGGAACACAGATAAATTAACTGAGGTGATTATAGAGTTATTGTGTTATGATGGAAAAAAATAGTGACTATGAAATTCAACCTTCCTTTGAATTCAGGTTCTTACTACTTATGTGGGCAGTTCTTTCTCCTTTTCAGGGCCTCATTTTCCTTTTTTGTAAGACTGCATAGAAAAAGTTAGACCACATAGTCTCTGAGTCCCCTTATAGTTCTAATTCCTACCATCTTATTTTGTTTGGAATGGAAAATGATATATGGCACATTACAGCATTCTGGATTAGGAGTCAGAGGCCATGTGGGGATGGTCTCACTGCTGCCACTGACGTGGAGGACCTTAGACACATTACTTAGTTCCTATGGCCCCTCAGTTCCTTGTCTTTAAAATTAGTGTTGGTTGGACTTCATGGTCTCCAAGGTCCCTCCCTTGGCTTGGTTGGGGCAGTGCATGGTTAGATTTTGTGGCCCACAAGCCATTGAGTAAATGGGGCTTTTTGAAGGATGACTGATTCTGCTGTAGTGATTTTGGGTGTCTGGACTGGTTATCAGTTTACAACTCAAAATTGAGAGAGCATCTTTCCCCATATCCCATTCTAGGGATATTTAAGTGTCCAATTTATATCTTTAGGAAAAAGGATTTGAATGTGAATTATTATTTGTGACTTGACCCAATTTTTTGTCATTCTTTTTCTACTATTCCTTTACCTCCAATTCCTTGTAGTGGAAAGGAACCACCCAGCCCATGAAATTGAACACTCGGCCATCCAATGGGCTTCTTCGACATATCTTGCAGCAAGTGTATAACCACTCAGTCACAGATCCAGAGAAACTCAACAACTATGAGCCTTTTTCTCCAGAGGTGTATGGAGAAACTTCATTCGACTTAGTTGCCCAAATGATTGATGAGATTAAAATGACAGAGGATGATCTGTTTGTTGATTTGGGCAGTGGTGAGTATATGTGAGCAAATGTTTGGTGATTTCCATGTTAACCAAAACGGGTGGGATGTTCCAGACTAATTATGCCAAGGGGAAAAACTTCAGGGGCTAGTAAAGCATAACGGGAGCCCTAAGATGCTAGCAGGATGAGCGAACTGATTTTGTCCCGAATGTTAAAGCCATTACCTAACCAGCCACCCTGCTGGCCAGAAAAGCCAAGGGCAGGGCTGACAGTTCAAAAGGAAGTTCCACTTGAGAAAGTGTTGGGTTGGCTCAGGTTCCTCAGCAAACATGTGTTTCACGTACCGTGCCAGGTATTGGGAATTTAAAGTCTTCGTGGCTTTATTGGATGTTTAGTTGCTTCCTCACTAATACCCCTAACTTCTAGACCTTTGTCTAGGATTCCTTTTCATTGCTCTAAAATGGTAACTTTTTAGAACAACTGAAGTTCAAGTGTCTGGTATCCCATTGCACATGTGATCTGGTATGTGGCATAATCCAGTGAAGAGGTTGCTTTAAATAATAGCCGTAAAGATACTTTTACCATTGTAGCATTCTTCATAATAATACTTTTTAAAGGTACAGCCTCCCAGCTGTTAGCATTTCCTTTTTTTTTTTTTTTTTGAGGCAGTGAAATGGCTAGCCCATTTCCAATTCATTTCCTTTCTTGGGATAGATTTTAAATGCAAATCTCCTGACTGGATCATAGAAACATATTTCTAATCTGGCAGTATAGAAGTCATATTCAATGTACTAATTTTTTGCTTTACTATTTTGGGGGGGGGTAGAAATGTAAATTGAAATATTTGAGTATTTGAATGAGATAAGCCCTTATTTGGTGGTAATATTGCTAAGGTGTGCCTGTTTTGGGAATGTTAAGTAATAAATAAGGATGATAATGATTAGGATTATAGGGTTTAGAGTTCCAAAGGGCTCAAGAAATCTAGCCCACCTCCCCATCCTGACCCTGCAGTTACACATGAGGAAACTAAGGCCCAGAGGAGTTGACTTGCCTGAGCTCAGGTTCTGATTCCAGTTCTAATGTTCTTTTTCTTGCTCTTTGCTGCCTCATTATAACATTTCATTCAATTTCTTTAAAAAAAAAAAAGTCATTGATGCTTCTTATTTCCTAGTGACCTCTCATCTTCTCCATTCTTTTGATTTGCTTGTGTGTATAGGTGGGCTATCCATTTCAGTCTCCCTCATTTTAAAAATCAGGAAACAGGCTGAGGGATGGTTTTTTGTTGTTTGTTTTTTTTTTTGTTTTGTTTTGTTTTTTCATACACATGTACAAGGATGGTTCCTCCATTCATAATGTGGTCATTTCTGGGATGGAACATTGTAGCTATTACAGGCCATCAGGATCAGTACACCATAGTTAAGAACTGAAAATGAAAAGTCATCTAAAACCAACCGAATAATTGAGGGGGCAGTTCTAGGTAGGCAGAATGTAGGATAGAAAACTGTCAGGGCTGTAGAGAGCTAAGGGACCCCAGAAATCATGTAGTTCATTCTCTTTAACACCTCTTCCCCTCACTTTGGCCTCTGTACTTGTTATGGTTCTGTAGAAGTACCTTCAAGGTCACTCTTAAGCATTAATCAGAATCAGGTCTGAAAACCATTCAGATTTAGATTTCGGAGTTTTTAAAAGAAGAAGCAGGGGAAAAAAAAAGTCATGCATCAGATCAAAACATATTAGAAAGCTGAAATCTTTGTTAATGGCTTCAATATGCAAGATTACTGAGGTTTTACAACCCATATGTTATTAGTTCATTTAAAAAAAAAGTTACTGGGTCAAAGGCAAAAGTTGGCTGCTCCTCACACATCTTATCTGAGTTATATATATCTCAAGAATATTCTCAAAGAATTCATGCCAAGTTTCTCCTTATGCTCACAAGCCAGATTCTTTTTTGAAATAAGCCTCTGCGTATCGCTATAATTATTTTCCCTCTTGGACGCTATGTGCCAGAATGTGATGGCAGAATGAACTATTTTGGTATTTTCTCCTAAGATTTTACTTCTTGTAAAATGCACTAATGCATTGGACTAGCATTAACAAAATGGGCAGAGAAACTGCTCTATGTACACGACACATACAAAAGAAGTTGGCTAAAATTATTGTGTAATGCTGTTGGGAAGGCAAAGCCTTTAACTCAGTCTAGTCTCAACTCTGCCAGTAACTACCTCTGGGACCTTGGATAAGATTCCCTAATCAGGATTTCAGTTTTCCCAGCTATCAAATGAGACTAAATGATGTCTGCCCTAGTCTCAGCAACTCTGAGTAATGACTCTATAGCAACATAACAAGAAGAAGAAAGAAATGGGTATGCTGACACTTTCCATGTTTATTTATGCAACAAAATGAAATATTTCATAGGATTTAAGCTTTAGGGAGGACCATTTTTAGGAACTAGAAGTGACCAACTATGTCTTTCAACCTATTGATTTCTTCTCTTCCCCAGCTCCCCTTCAGGGTTGGGTCTGTGGCAGTTGCTTCTATATAGGAGTCTAAACTTTTAAAAAGTTTATGTAATTAAATTTTGATTTTCATTACCTGACATTTTCTACTGTATTCCTTCACTTCAACTTCCTTCTAGTGTGCCATTCCTTATAATAAAGAATTTAAAAAGAGAAAGAAAATACCCAGCAAAGTCAAAACCAAAAAAGCTTGTTGTAGATCAGAAAAGTTAAAAGCCGTATGGGAAAGCCATGGTTCCCAGTTTCTTCAGATTAGTGGGATGGGGAAGCATCCTTCTTATGGCTCTTCTGGGGGGCCACTCAGTTTCTTAGCATTCAATTTTGATTATGCTGTTCTTTCTATGTATCTTGTAGTCATTGTATAGAATTTTTTCTTGGCTCCACTTACTTAATTCTGCATCAGTTCATATAAAACTTGTCATGCTTCTTTGTATTCATTCATTGTTTCTCACAGCACAGTAATTTTGCATTACTCTCATACCATAATTTGTTTAGTCATATCCCTAATCCATCAGCATTTACTTACCTTTGGTATCACAAAAAGTATATGGTTAACTTTTCTTTATTTTAGGTTTTATTTTTATTTTTTGTTTTTACATTGGTTGGATTTTCACCTAATATCTTCTCCATCCACCAGTACCTGCTGTGCCGGCACCCCCCCCCCCCCCCCCCGCCGCCCCCCCCCCGCCCCCCCCCCCCCCCCCCCCCCCCCCCCCCCCCCCCCCCGGCCAACCAAGAGCCATTCTTTGTCAAACTTCACCCAGTTAAACACAGGGAAGTAGTCCGTTCCTTTATATACCACATCTTATTGAATTGTTCTTCCATCCCTAAGCACATACTTGGTTTCTGGTTCTTTTCTGCCTTGGCCAGTGCCGCTGTAGACGTTTTAGTGCATCTTGAGTCTTTGTCAGCAGTCCCTTTTGGATAGATGCCTAGCAGGAAGCACTCTTCAGTCACCCTTTGTAGCATATTCAAGAATTACTTCCCAGTTGTTTGGACCAACTTAGTTTCACAGACTACACGTTAATTTGCCTGTCTTTGCATGGTTTCTTCGACACTGTCATCTAATCTTTTGTCATCTTAACCAATTCAATTTCTTGGATGTGAGGTGATCCCTTAGGGTTATTGATTTGTGTTCTCCTTACTAGTAGTTTGGAGGATTCTTTCATGTTGATTGTTCTGTACTTTGACCACTTCCTTATTGGAGAATGGCTTCTGGTGTTATGTATTTCTACCAGTTATCTGTCTTATAGAATGGGGATTGGCCCAATTGTCCATCTTTGTGTGGACCCAACTTTGTCATCCAGTTAGTTAGCAAGTCTTCCCAGCTTTGTTTCTTCTCCAATTTTAATAAGCATAGCATCTATACCTTTAGCCAAGTGATAGAGATTTTACTCATTATATTATTGCTATATGGAACTTCCAGAGGTGTAATTTCCTTCTCCCAAAGCAGGTTAGCATGTTCTTTGCAATTTGCAGTCTTAGGGAGTTGTCTGGGGCCTTCTGAGGTTAATTGATTTGCCTGGAGTGAAACACCTGTATGTGTCTTCATATCTTGCTGTGCTTCCTGAATTAGATTTCAGACGATTTACAGAGATGTTTGAGACAAAGAATCTTCCCTTCAGTTGATGACTTCTCCTATTTATCCTATCTGCATTACTTCTCTTTGTGGAAAAGCTTTTCAATATCATGGAATAAAAATTGGCTATTATTCTTTGGTAATTGCCTGTCTTCCTTGTTGAATAATTCACACCATGCACATGCTTGTTTCTTTCTTTATTTCTTCCTTTTTCTTTTTTTAAATGGTATGATCTTTCATGATCTAGTCCCACATTCATTTTGACTGTATTGTGCAACATGGCCTAAGCTATGAGTCCAGGCCTCTTCTCTGTCTGTCCCCATCTCTGCCTGACTTGTTTCCACCTCTCCTGAAGCTGTTGTCAAATAGGGAATTGTTTTCACAGGTAGTTGATATTTTCAGGTTTATCTGACACTGAGTTACTGACTGCAGTTGTTTCTGATCCTTTTCTTGTCTACTCTGTTCCATTGAACAAATGGTTTTGATGATTTCTGTTTAATAATATATCTTGAAGTCTGGAAATGCTATTCCTGCCTTTTCTGTCATTTCTCTTAAGAATCTAGATCCATTTTTCCTCCAAATGAAATTTTTTTTTTTGTTTAGCTCTGTGGAGTATACATTTAATATTTTGGTGTAGCACTAAATCTGTTAATTAACTTAAGTATCATTGTTTTTATTATATTGGCACAGCCTAGTCATGAACATTGAACATTCTTCCAGTTAGGTTATTCTTTATTTAAGGAGTGTTTTGAATTGTACCTGTTCCTGTATGGAGTGTACTTTAGTAGATTGACTCTCTGATATTATGCATTTTGAAATCAGTGGAAATTTAGTCTTAATTTTCATCAGATTCCTTTACCAGTTAGTTATAGCCTCTGCTAAATGTCTTTTCAGCTTCCACAGGGTTTCAGTTTGATCATAATGTTTCTTCCATTGTTTTTCCCTCTCTGATAAGCTGTAACAATTGTGGAGGATTTCCTCTGAACTCCTCAAGTGGATTTTTCTCATACAGCTTAACTTTGTCTTACTAATTTTTCTCTCTTTAAAGGAGTGGGGCAGGTGGTTTTGCAAGTGGCTGCAGCCACAAACTGCAAGCATCACTATGGTGTGGAGAAAGCAGACATCCCAGCGAAGTATGCTGAGGTGAGGAGCATCCCTTCTGTACTGGAATCTGATACAGTAATTTGTTATTCCAAAGTCTTATCTGTTTGTGGTTGATCCAGTTAGAGAATTGCCCTGAATTTCATTCTCATTGCTCTACTGGTGGCCAGTATGAGTGGGCAAGGCAAACCAAGATAGTTGGACTAGCTCTGGTAGTTCTGATTCTGGCGCAGCTAGATGGCTCAGTGGCTAGAGCTCTGGGCCTGGAGTCTGAGTGCAAATCCATTCTCCAACTGTGTGACTCTGGGCTAGTCACTTAACCTCTGTTGGCCTTAATCCACTGGAGAAGGAAATGGCAAACCACTCTAGTGTCTTTGCCACAAAAACTCCTTGGATGGCATGGTCCCTGGGGTCATAACGTGTCAGACACAACTGAACAATAACAAAGTTCTCATTTTTGGTATGCCCTTTTAAAAAACTGTTTTCATTTCTCCTTTCCGATTTGCTTTTGTTTTGAGGAATTTCACTTGGATTTATTAGCATTGTCAATAGTACATTTATCAATTTTAACCATAGATTTCTTGGACTTGACTGTGCTCTAAGCACTGAGTTGTGAAATCCTTGGGGCTGCCCCAGTGTATAAAAAGAAGAAAGGTTCAGACTACTGTGGTTAAGAGCTCTCCTAAAAGGTTTGTTGGGAAAGCATATTGAAAGTTCTGAGGTAAAGGACGGTTTCTAGGTTCATTCAGTGCTTCTAAGTGTAAGGCTTATCGACAGCCAGACATAGTGGATAGAAAAAAGATCTAGGTTCATAGCTTTCGTGAGTTGCCCTATAAAGTCTGACATGATCTGCTCGGTGACATTGGGCAAGTCACTGAACCCGTCTTAGTGCCCTTGGTAACTAACTTTAAGATATAGTGGAGGACAATCACCCTATGCTAATGAAATCCTGAGTCTGAACCCAGAAACAGAGAAGCTGCTTAGCAGTCTATCAGTGTTCCATTAACAAGTGTTTAAGTGCTAGTCATTGTGCTAGGTGATGGGACACAGATATAAAGTACTGAGCCTTGAAGGGAGAGGAGTAAGTGTAAATGCCTGGGGAGAGAGAAGTGGTACCTGAGCCGGGCTAGCAAGGAAGCCATTTTGTTTGGCTCTGTTGTAGTGTGTGAAGGGGAATGATCAATGTGGAAAGATGGGCTAATATGCCAGCTTTAAATGCCAGCTGATTGGATGAGATTGAGTAGGTGAGCAAGAGTCAAGAGTCAAGGATGATTCTGGGTTGTGAACCTAATAGAAGAGCCATGATGAAACAGTTTTTTGAATAAATCAGGGAAGAGAAAGTATCTGGGAGGAGGAAGCAGTTCTCAGCATGCAGTGTCATGATGCAGGGAGTTAAAAGAACAGTGAGGTCCAAGATGGGGCAATAATTGTTGGTGATACCAGACAGGACAAGCTGAGAAATCAGGTAGGAATGTGGAGGCAGAGTCTGCTGGGTGCTGGGGATACAGATGTGGAAACAAAGCAGTTGAGGCCTCAAGGGGCTTAGTCTTGGGCACAGATAGATGAAATGCATTGTGTGGGAGGAAGAGATTTCTTGTGATACCATCTTTGTTGTCATAGCCTTGAACATGCCTTGTGAAGATAGAGCTTCTGATTGAAGGGGGTGTGTGTGTGTGTGTTTCTGGGTCCTCTTTAGGAATTGATCATAATAAAGACTTGCTATTAAGTATTTTTTTTAACCTGTATGTCATTTTGATCAATAGTCCCTTGCTATGGCTAAGCCTTTAAAAGTGGAAAGAATCAGTCTTAGTCTAATCCTTTTTAATGGAGAGGGGGAAACAAAAAATTTTTTGGGTGAAAAAAGGCAAATTTTGTAAAATATTGATCGGGCTGCTTCTTTGCCTAATTTTCCTGAGAATGCAGCATTTATGTTGAACTATTTCCTTTTTCTCTTCTTTTAGACAATGGACAAAGAATTCAGGAAATGGATGAAATGGTATGGGAAGAAGCATGCAGAATACACAGTAAGTTACTACACTGATTTGGAAGATTTACATGCTGTTTTTTGTTTTGTGGGATTTTTTTGGTGACATGGGACACAATAAACTTAAACTCTTATTCCTTTACTTACATTTTTCTAAGGGGAAGGTATAAAGTAAAATATTAAAGCTTGCTTTTTAAAATACAATTTCTATTGGTATCTTGTTTTGCTTCACTTACATTTTTAGTCACATGGTTAGTAAATGTTTATTAACTACTTACTATTTGCCAGGCTGTGTACTAAGCATTGGGTCTACAAAGAGAGACAAAAGACAGTCTCTGCCCTCAAAAAGCTCAGAGACCAATTGAGGAAACTACAAATAAATATGTATAGACAAACTCTGTACAAGATAAATAGGAAATAATTAGTGGGGAGAAGCCCCTTGAATTAAATGAATTAAGGCCCTCGGATTGGGAAAGTCTTCCCATAGAATTGGGACGTGAAGGAAGCAGAGATAAAGAGGGAGAGTGTTCCGGTCAGGGGAGATGGCTAGAGAAAATGGCTAGACCTGGGGGATTCATGGAATAGCCGGGAGCTCAGTGTCATTGGATCAGACAACACATGAGGGATAGGTGGAGGTGGGTATAATGTATAAGTGGAGGTAGGAGGAGGGTAGGTTATGAATGGCTTGAATGCCAAATAGCATTTTGTTTTTGATCCTAGAGGCAATAGAGAGCCATTGAACTATGTTGAGTAGGGACGTAACATAGACCAGCATTTTAGGAAAAGTAGTTTGGCAGCTGAATGGAGTGAGTGGGGACAGAATGGAGAGAGAATGGAGGTGGGCTGATCCACCTGCAGGCCTAGTGTGATTAGGGCCTGCACCAGGGTAGTGGCAGTGGACAAGGAGAGAAGGGGGGTATATTCAAGAGGTGTTAGAAAGGTCAGATTGACAGGCCTTGTGGCAGTGGTTTGGACATGGAGTGGGGGAGGGGAAGTGAGCAACAGCAAGGATTCAAGGATGATTCCTAGGTTGTGGGTCTGGGGGTCTGGGAGGGTGGTGGTGTCCTGGACAGAAACAGGGAAGTTTGGAATGAGGAAAGGGTTTGGGGGAGAAAGATAATGAGTTGAGTCTTAGACCTATTGAGTTTAAGATATCTACTGGATATATAGTTTGAAATGTCTAAAAGGTGGTTGGAGGGAGATAGGAGACTGGAGGTAGAGGGCTGGAGAGGTAGATTTGAGTGTCATCAGGTAGAGATGATAATTAAATCCGTGGGAGCTGCTGAGATCACCAAGCGATGTAGTACAAAGGGAGAAGAGGAGGGTCTGGGATACCTGGAGTCTGTGGAATACCCACAGTGAGTGGGTGTGAACTAGATGAGCCTCCAGCAAAGTAGCCGAAAAGTGGTAGCAGTTAGACAGTTAGGAGAACTAGGAGAAAATGGTGGCCCAAAAACCTAGAGAGAAGAGAGTATCAAGGAATAGAAAGGCGAGTATTAGTGTCTAAGGTTTCAGAGAGCTCAAGAAAAATGAAAAATGAGAAAAGGCCATTAAGGAGGAGGGCTGACCAGATGTGGAAGAGTCTCTGTGGAGAGTGGGAGAGTGAGTTGATAAGGGAGGTGGAGTAGTATTGCCCTGGAGCAAAACTGATCTCCCAGTAACTCCTCCCCTTACCTTCTAATTCTAGTTTTGCCCTTTGGAACTCTACTGATCAAATCAACAAACACCAATCAACACCAGTAGGTGTTTCCCTTCCCTCCCAGGGAAGACTGCCGTTGAGTGGGGGGAGTACAAATTCTGTTTACATTAACCATAACAATAATGAGCTGTCAATGACAATTATCCAAAGAATGAGTCAGGGGAATTCTGTGTAATATATTTTCACCTCTCTGCTTCCAGACCAAAATTGACTCTTCATCCATCTCTGCCCTTCAGTCCTCTCACAGGCTATCACCTGTACTCTCTCCTTTCATCCTTTTCTACCCTCTGGTGAACCAGTTCAACTCTATATTACATATTCATAAGCAGTGAACAGGTTAAAGAGCTTCATGATTTGGGTATTTTAAGGGAGAGGCAATATGTTAGGGGAGCGGAGAAAATTGTGAGCCATGCATTGGAAGCTTTGAGGAAGTGTTGTAGGGGGGGAATGTTCTAGAGGTCTGCAGATGATAGTTACGAGGATTTTGTGTGGAAGACGTGGATTATGTGGACCTCCCAGAAGGAGAGTTTACTGAGTGGTGGAAGTGGGGAGAGAACTTTGAAGTGGTAATGGAGATCAAGGAATATTTCAGTGAAGTGAAGGAAATAAGTGAAGGTGGAGCCAGTATTAGAAAGGGTGGCCAGGAAGGCTGTGTTGTGTCATCAAGGGGAGCCTGGTCTTCATGATTTCTCACTGTTTCTCTCACTCCGGCTTTTCTCTTAAGAGCCAGACCTTATACATTTTAAAGGGAAGAAAAACTCCATAAAATAACTTGTCATTGAAATAATCTCACATTGGTTCCCCCAGTGAAAATCATGATAACAACATAGAAGCTTTCCGTATTCATTTCCAGCAATGTTCTGTGGGTTTGGAGGAGGGGATCGCTTTTACAAAGGCCATAGGTAGATAAGCAGGCAGGACTGCCAGCTGCCATGGAGAAGACAGGTGTCCAAGCGGTGGCTGGTCTCCTGTTGGACAGTGTAGCTACCAAGTCCTTGTGGTTTGTCAGTATCACCCAGTAGTTAGCATGGCCTTCCTAAGGCCGTGCTTTGGACGTAGAAACAAATGCACTTCAGATGTCTGTCATATGCTTACTGCTTGCTTTTCCTTTGAGGGGGTGCAGCGAGGTGGCACAGTGACAGAGCACTGGCCCTGGCCCCAGGAGGACCTGAGTTCAAATCTGACCTCAAGATATCTACTAGCTGTGTGATCCTGAGCAAGTCATTTAACCCTGTTTGCCTGTTTCCTCATCTGTAAAATGAGCTGGAGAAGGAAATGTCAAACCACTTCAGTTTCTTTGCCAAGAAAACCCCAAATGGGGTCATGAAGAGTCTGATGTGAACCAACTGACTGAACGGTTTCTTTGAGGAGTGCACCACCTGCTGGCTTGCTCCAGTATCACCTGCTCTGGACACACCTGTTGGGCATGCTTGTGGGCTCTCTGTCCTTTCTGAGCTAACCTTGAGGAGGGAGAAGTGTAAAGACTGGGGGGTGTCCTAGTGTCCTTGGTGTGTTCTACCTAGTTAGCATTCTTCAAATGTGATCCTTCTGCTTACCACTCCAGTTAAGTTTTTTCATGTTGAAGATGTTTTAAATTGTGGTCCTTGTTTGTTTCAAAGCAAAGCAAAGTTCAGACATCTATTGCGAAGATGCTGTAACTGTCCAGTTGAAAGTATCTTTGTGTGTCTTGAGGCAGTGGGGAGGAGCTCCTAGGGTAGGACGTGATAGGGTAGAGGTAGCAATGTAAAAATGCTGGATAACAAACATTTCAAATTTAGGGTTCTTTCAGGTATTCCTGTCTAATCCCTGACAGACCCAGCCAGTATTCCCTGCTCCTCAGTATCTGGTTATACATCACTCAGGCTCAGCTGCTGTGCTACCTGTGTGAGTTGGCAAGTTCATTCAGTTCCTTTAATCCTCGTCTTTAAAAGAAGTAGTGGAATAGATTGTTGTTGGACTCACATAGGAAGTTTTCTTGGCACATACTGGAGTGGTTTACCATTTCTTTCTCCATTGAATTAAGACAAACAGAAGTTAAGTGACTTGCCCAGGGTCACACAGCTGGTGAGTGTCAGAGGCTGGATTTGAGCTCAGGTCTTCTTGACTCTAGGACTGAGCCACCTAGCTGCCTCCAATGGATGAGATTACCTGTAAGCTTTTTATTTTTATCCATTATTTAGTTTTTTAATATTACAGTAATATTTTTTGAATTGTTGAGGGACACATTCTATCCCCATGTGTTCAGAGCATTGTGCTAAATGCTGGAGATATAATGCTATTTCCACCTGAAAGACTTGATGATCTAATGTGCGTTCTCTAGATGCAGACCCAATGGTTATTATTTAGATTCTACATGTTCTGTCTCTTTTTTTTTTTCCCCTCAATGCTTGGGTACCTTTTTAGAGCTACTTATACATAGGAGGAAAAAGAAGGGGGTGGATCACAGTGTTCTCAAAGCAGTCTGAGTTAGCGGGACTGTTTGAGTGTAAGTAATTACGGCCTTTCTTTGGGGATTTATGCACATGTTCAGCTACTAGATCCAGCTTAAAATTTGAGCATTGCAATTAACACAGACAGATGGTATTTCATAGTTTCTCAGCTGTAAACATCCTCTTGGGCCCTACCCTCAACGTTTCTAGGGCAACTCATCGGTAACCCACTTAGATGTGTCTTTATTTAGGGTGTTTATTGGAAGTTCACACTATATCCCATGTTTCCTGCCTGTCTACATAGTAGCCTAGTAACCTCTAAGCCTGCCAGCATTAGAGATTTGTGCAGCCTTATATTGATAGTATAAAGCCAAATCAGTTAATCAGTAAGCATTTATTAAGCACCTAGTATGTGTCAGGCACTGTGTTGGGAATACAAAAAGAGGAAAACGGAGCTTATGGTGTAATAGGGAGACAACATGTAAAGAAATAGATATAAAGCAAGCTATACAAGATAAATAGGACATAATTAACAGAAAGAAGATAGTAGAATTAGGATGGGTCAGGTTGGGGAAAGCTTACTGTGGAAGGTTGGATTTTTGTTGTTCAGTTTTTTTTGTTGTTTTTTTTTTTCCAGTTGTGTCTGACTCTTTGTGACCCTGTTTGGGGTTTTCTTGGCAAAGGTACTGTAGTAGCTTGCCATTTCCTTCTCCAGCTCATTTTACAGTTGAGGAAGCCGAGGCAAAAAGGGTTAAGTGATTTGCCCAGGGTCTCACAGCTAGTAGATGTCTGAGGCTAGATTTGAACGCAGGATCTCTTGGTTCCAGGGCCTGACCCTATCCACCTTGCCATCTAGCTGCCTAAATTTTAGTTGGGATTTTATGTATTTATTTATTTAGGGATTTAACTTAA